CGGCCGGGCAACTGACCGGCGGCCTGCGATCGGGGACCTGGACGGCAGGTGGCGGCGCGGGCGCGCTAAGGCCTCGCTTCTCTCCTCCTAGGGTGTCTTTTATGAATAATCAAAAGCAGCAAAAACCAACGCTATCGGGCCAGCGTTTTAAAACCAGAAAAAGAGGTAAATACGTCTTAGTATCTTCTCCAAAGTTCCAGGTAGCCCCTGTTCCCGGGCCGCCCCAAGGATGAGCGTGGTGCTTATGGAGAGCCCAAGGAAAAGTGACAGGGAAGGAATCTGGATTTCCGGCTAGCCGCGTGACACATCCGCCCTTAATACTTGTGTTGCTTTCTCAAACTTTGTGAGTTTCTAGTGTCCAGTACCTCCAGGCAGGTCTTTGAGTGTTCTTGGTGTGATGTTCCTTTTGTAAGGCTGTTTCACTCTCCTGCAGTTTTCATCTAGGCAAATCTGTTTGAGTCAAGAGATTGTTTAGGGGCGGGGGAGATGGTTCGGTGGAATAAGGGCTTCCCTGGCAAGCGCAAGGGCCTGAGTTCAATCCCCGGTTCTGCCAAAAAAAAAAAAAAAGAGAGAGAGAGATTGTTTAGAAAAACCTAAAAACTTCTAATGTCATTAATTTCGCCCAACTTTTGCCAGCATGTATGCGAGACAAGCTGATGGTGTGGCAGGACAGTGTAGCTCTTAGCTATCTGGCATGAGGCCCTCAGTGCCTGTGGAGGTTATGATGGAAGAGGATTCACATTGCAGTGTCTTTTGAAATATTTGTCACAGATGTGGTGAGAAAATAATTGCCTTAGGGCTGTGGATGAGCTCAATAGCCAAGTGCTTGCCTGGCATGTCTAAGGACCTTGATTAAATCCCAGCACCACAAAAAGAAAAATTAGTGTGACGTGCTTCAGTGAATTTTTTCTACTTGTTATTAGCATATATTTGTAATACACTAGTGAATATTAAATGTTAGCAAGGTTTTATATTAATAGTACCAAGTAAAAATGTGCTCGTGGCTGTATTTGGTGTTAAGCTTAGTGTTTTCCCCAGACATTTTTATTCCCGCCCCCCAAGGAACCAGGGCTTGAACTCAGGTCCTGAGCTATCTTCCCGGCCCCACCCAAGGCATTTTTAAATGTTGCTGTTTGAGTCTAATTTTATTGTACCAGGAATTGAACTCAGGACTTTGTGTTTGCCAGGCTGGTGCTTTGCCTCTGAGCTTTCTCCCCTGGACCAAAATGTTGCTGTTTGAAAGCACATATTAACCTCACATGAGGACATTTGGGGAAGTGAGAACTGGGTCAGCTGCTGCCTAAGTTGTTTCCCTCAGTGACAGACACTTTGAGAAGCATATTACAGAATCTGTTACCATCTCTCCAGAAGAGAAGGTGTAAGCTAGAGCCTCGCAGCAGCAGTGAAGTCAGTGTCAGTGCACGTGGATCACCGGTGTCACCGTTCTGTAGTGGTGGCGGGTGCCCTTCCTGCAGTGTCAAGAGTTGCCATTCCCTCACTGCAGAGAGAAAGATCACGCAGCCTCCTGCTGGTGATGAGGAAGGGCCTGGTGAGTGTGAATAGCTCCAGAGCCAGGACCCTTCACACTAAGTCCAGGGGAGTCTTGCGCAAAAGAAGAACTTGTCACCTCTTGCTATATGAGAATTGGAATGTCATTTGACCTGGCGAAGGTCTGGAGAGAGGCACACAAGGGCCCAGCCTGTGCCCTGAGCAGTCTCTGTCACATAATGTGTCAGCAGCTCAGCAGAGGCGCTGCGTGCTTTGTGCTATGCAAGAGTTCCTGTTTGCAGTGCTCTGTGAGTACAGGCGAGGTTCTTGGTTGCATCTCACAGTGGAGGGGTTCAGGCCCGAGGAATGAGTCTGGTGCTGAAAGTGAGAACGTTTAGCAGTGGTCACACTGCAGTCAGGCTGCGCCAGTGACTGGTATTCTGTCTTGATTATGTACTCTTTGTGACTGGGTTTTCTTCTAAATGACCCTAACAAAGAAATCCCCTGTTAAGGTTAACAGGATTGAAGTAGCTGCCTAGTACTGTTTCTAGTGTATACACATTGAGTAGTCAGTAACAGACTTTCCAGTGATCCTTTCAGTAAACACAGAGTCCCCCATTGCACAGGTGTGCTACACAAGGCTCACTTCTTTGCACTTATGAATGAATCTGACTTGCATTCAGGAGCGGACCTCCTAAGTTGGGGCTTACTGTGCCAAATGAGCGGTCATATTGAAATTTATGTGCATTTAGAACTACAAGCTCTACTAGAAGAGCAAAATTTCAGAGGAATGAATCCAAACACTAGCATACTTTCAGCTCCATTAAGAGACTTGTTTGGAAAAGTAGAAGAGTCACACATTCCGTGACTAGGTCATCAGGCCTTGTCTGTACACAAGTGCAAAGAAGAAATGATTAGTCTTTTGTGGTTTTTTCCTTAATTGCAAATTTAATCTGTGTAGTTTGTGTTTAGTTTTTTCAAATACTAAAAAAATATAATTGTGAAGAATTTAGATGGCTAGATAGAATATTCACCTCTGACAGGACAAAAAAATAAATAAGTAAAACTAAAATTTTTTTAAAAAAAGATACAAAGGAAAGATCATTTTGTATTTATATATACAAAATAGTTAGGATAAATTTACAGCTACTTTCGTTTAACTCAATGAGAAGAAGTGTACTAACAGTGTTTGGACAGAATATCCTGTCTGCTTCTTGTACTGTGGATAACCCCTAAGAAGATAACAATGTACAGTGTATTGACTATCAAAACTGTCCTATTAATCAGCTGTGAAGCTGTCTCATTCATATTTATTTCTAACTAAATATATATATATATATATTGAAAAAATAATTTAGATGGCAGGGAAGAAAGGGTAGAAGGGAGGGTAAGGGAATGGGGGGAAATCAAGTTATATCATGTACAGGTACAAATTCTCAATGATGAGCATGATCGTTATATGTACCTAAAATATACCAATAAAAATCATGAATAGGGCTGGGGAGATGGCTCAGTAGAATAAGTGCTTCCCTGGCAAGTGCAAGGACCTGAGTTCAATCCCCAGTTCCAGAAGGAAAAAAAAAATCATGAATAAAAATATTTAGTAAACACATTAACAGCTTCATAGGGTGTTAGTTCATGGCATTTTGGTTAGCCTTTGAGACTAAATGTTTTGGGTTTCCCCCCACAGATGAAAAAGAGAGATTTGACCCTACTCAGTTTCAAGACTGTATTATCCAAGGCTTAACTGAAACTGGTACTGATTTAGAAGCAGTAGCTAAGTTTCTGGATGCTTCTGGAGCAAAGCTTGACTACCGCCGATATGCAGAAACCCTGTTTGATATCCTGGTTGCTGGTGGGATGCTGGGTAAGTGGTTGTAAGTATTTAGTACAGGGTCTCAGTACACAGGTCAGACCTGTTGAGAGCTTCCTGCTTTCAGCTTCCCAGGTGCTGGGCTTACAGGCACACGCCACCACGCCATCTTGTCTCTTCTGTTCTTTGCCTCCCCCCGCCCCCCCAGTGAGGTTAAGTTCCCAGTCCTACCCGGTCAAGCGTTGTGTTAGAAGCCTGTCACACGGCCATCACCCTTGCAGATAACTTTTCTTAGCTAACACTTAAGTTCCTACAACATCCTCAGTTGATAATTTTTAAATCCCTCTCACCAAAAACAAGAAATAAGTTTTGAAAGATGTGAGGAATACAAAAACTATTCAGAATGTTCAGAGTATTAACTGATGTTCAGAGCCAAGATGTAAGGAAATCAGATACTGTATACACATGCAGATGGAAGCCTAGAAGGGCTTTACATGATATTGGGGAGGCTGAGACAGGAGGGTTGCAAGTATGAAGAGCCAGCCTGGGCAACTTAGCAAGACCTTGTACCCAAAACTGAAACAGGCTGGGGATATACCCCAGTGCCAGGCCCTAGGTGTAATTCTCAGTACAGCGTGCACACAGACGTGCCCCAAAAAATATGTGTGTGTATACGTATGTATAAATTACATGATTGAGGCCGGGGAGATGGCTCAGTGGAATAAGTGCTTCCCTGGCAAGCGCAAGGGCCTGAGTTCAATCCCCGGTTCTACAAAAAAAAAAAAAAAATTACGTGATATACAGTGGTACGATCAGGCACTTAAAATTGGTAGCTTCTAATTCATGCCTAGTCACAATTGTCTCATCATGCTAATGATTTAGAGTAAGAAATGTGAAATACCTTTATCAGTATTCATAGTAGTACTGTAAGAGTTCACGTTTTTTCTTTTAGATTTTTAGACAAGTATTGCTAGGTAGGCCACGGGGCCTTGACCGCACGTACCCCTGCCTCGCCTTCCAGTTGCTGATGTTACAAGCCTGTGCCGCCAGGCCTGGCCAAGAAAACTTGTAAGAAACACTTACTAGGGAGAACTGCAGACGGCTTGGGGCACCTGGTGCTGTCCGGCTGCGGGTACTCAGTGCAGCTGTGCTTCGTCTGCACCACATAGATCTCACCCTCCTTAATTTGCTAGCATTCGGTCTCCAGTCTGTGGCCTCCGCAGCATGTGCCCTTGGAGGCTCAGGAGTCTCCGACTAGCAGAGTCCGCGCCAAGCGTGTCACCAGCGGCGCTCAGTGCACATGCTGGGGCTGGTGAGCCAGCCGGGTCCTGCTGACAAGTGGGGTCGCCTTTATTCATGTTCGCCTTTTGTTGTGTGGAACATAAGGTTCAAGTGACACTGGGTTTTGCCTGAAGGTCACACACCTTTCTGTACGCCCTTAGCCCCGGGTGGCACCCTGGCCGATGACATGATGCGCACAGACGTCTGCGTGTTTGCAGCTCAGGAGGACCTGGAGACCATGCAGGCGTTCGCTCAAGTGAGTGAGCTGCAACCCGCTGGCAGGCGCTCGTCAGGGTCACAGACGTGCATGAGGGGAATTCACCTTTACGTTCTAGGAGTGTTGTCCTCGGTGCACTGTGACAGATGAGAGACTCGAGTGTGTGAGGGAGAGCCAAGCAGAAAAAATTAAATTAGCTCTTTGTTTCTGGAATTGGTGCATTTAAAAAAAAAAAAAAAAGCCTGAAAAGGCATATCAGTTTCCTGTTATGCTTTCCATAGTTGAGCTGTTCTGCATGCAGCTTTTTTAAGATAAATGAGTTTCCACAGAGATTAGCTTAATCAAGATCTCCCTTAAAGGTGTCATGTGTAGGTATGTTTTTGTTCCTGAAAGAAAGAATTTAAGTGCATCTAACCTGGAAGTTACCACGTCGTGAGGAGACAGGGAGCTCTGTTGCCATAGTCTGTTCACACTCTGCAGCTGGGAAGTGACCTGTGTGAACAGCACTTAGCCCAGTGTCCGCCGTAGAAGCCCACTGAGGGCTGGGCCGGGAGGTGGTTCAGTGGAATGAGCGCTTCCCTGGCAAGCACAAGGCCTTGAGTTCAATCCCCGGTTCTGCAAAAAAATAATAATTAAAAAAAAAGCCCACTGAGGGGCCCTTGGAGCGTTTCTGGGATGGGAATGTTACAGGGTGGAGGTGGCAAGGGTGTAGACTGTTCTGTCCAGCACAAGGCTCACTTTGCGGTTCAAGAAATAACTTTGATGTTCTTCATAGGTTTTTAACAAGCTAATCAGGCGCTACAAATATCTGGAGAAAGGTTTTGAAGATGAGGTGAAAAAGGTACGTGAGGGGCTGGGGATGTGGTCAGCACAGAGCACACGCTTGGTGTGCAGTGCTCAGCACCATGGTGAAAGAAGAAGGACGCTGCCAGAAAGGGCCGTCAGTTTGATATAATTTTACATTGATAGGTAGGTTGTCACTGAAATGTTTTGGGATACATGATCTTAATTGATAAAATTTTTCTAACTTGAGCCTGTTACGGGGGTGCACACCTATATTCTCGGCACTTAGGAGGCTGAAGCAGGAGGGTGGCAGTGAGCTCTGTGTCCAGAGAACTAAGAATGCAGAACTAGAGCTCTTGCCCAGCATGCATGAGCCACGGTTTCATCTCAAGTATCACGGGAAAGAAAGTGGCTGGGCAGAGAGCTCAACGGCACAAGCACCTGCCTGGCAGGTATAAGGTCCTGAGTTCATCCTTGGTACCAAAAAAAAAGCTTATTTGAGGGGCTGAAGAGAGAGCTCAGAGGCATAAGCACTTACCTAGCAAACACAAGGACCCACATTCAGTCCCTGGCCCCACATGCCATACAGTTCCAGCCTTAGATCCCCGGGTGCACCATCTCACCCCTGAATGTGGGCACCTAGCGTGTGGCCCCAGAACTGGGCATGGTGGCACACACCTGTAATCTCAACACGGGGGAGGTTGAGCCAGGAGGATCTCTGCGAGTTCGAGACTGACCTGGGGGCTACAAAAGTGAGCACAAGGCCAGCCCAAGCTGTATAGTGACACCCTGTCTCAAAAAAAAAAAAACCCATGATATTTGCATCTCGTTATATAGTCCTAAGTAGATAAGTGTAGTATCTGGCACTGTTACAGTTACACAAAATCATTTGGTGTCGGTAAAGTCTTTGAGGTATCCCCATTTTAAACGTGAGGAGACGGGGGCATACATTAAGTTGTTTGCCTCAGATGCACCTGCTGGCGTGCACTGAGGCTCATACCCTGAGGACTGCACGAGCCTGAGTGCTCAGACCCACACTGGCAGCCCATACGGTGCAGTCGCTGCTTCTCTCGATTGATCGCGGTTGCTCTGCTAACCTCAGTTACCTGTTCCCAGCTGCTGCTGTTCTTGAAGGGTTTCTCAGAGTCGGAGAGGAACAAGCTGGCCATGCTGACTGGTGTGCTTCTGGCCAACGGGACGCTCAACGCTTCCATCCTCAACAGCCTCTACAATGAGAATCTGGTGAAAGAAGGTGACAGCATGGGGAAGGAGGGAAGGCCCCGGGCCGAGAGCTGTGAGCAGACTGCATACGTCAGCCTCCTCACCGAGGCCCCTCCCAGCTTGGGAGATGCTGTGTGTGTCTTCTGCGCCTCAGCAGGGTGTGGGTGACTGAGGGGACCTCTGCGGAAAGTTACAGAACATTAGAAGACAAAACCTGCTTTTATTTTTTCTTAGACAGCTGAGTATTTAAGGGTCCCTTCAGTTCATACAGCAGCCTGTTGAGTATAGGCACTGTCACCCTCTTGAGTCCACATGAGAAAACACTGGAGGAGGTAGTTGGTGGCCAAGGGCAGTTAGGGCTCAACAGGGGACAGTGAGTGACCATGGTGGGCCACCTGGGGAGAGTGGCTGTCCAGGCACTTTGCTGCTTAGATCACAGTTGTAAATGTCTGTCCTGGGTGCTCCTTATGGGCCACTTTTACAGTGTGGAAATCCGACTTCCATTAGATTGGTGTGGAGGCACAGGGGTGGATCTTGGTCAGTTTCCTTCCTACTGCTTGTACACTGTTCCAAGAAAAGCACCCAGCTACCTTCACTGCACTGGCTAGTAAAATGCCCGCTAGCTGGTAGTGGGGGCCTTTGTTCTAGAGAGCACCTGGTCCCAGATACCTGCTGTACACCCCTGTATTTTGTCTCTTTTCTTTCCCTCCACGTGCCGCGCCCCAGGCAGGATCTTGGGGCTCACTGCAGGCGTCTTGCCTAACTGGGCCGTGCAGGGGTCTCTACTGTCCACTTAGGAAACTTCTCTTGTTGCTCTCAGGGGTTTCCGCAGCGTTTGCGGTGAAACTCTTCAAGTCCTGGATCAATGAGAAGGACATCAACGCGGTGGCTGCGAGCCTTCGGAAAGTCAGCATGGATAACAGACTGATGGTTTGTGGCTGCTCCTGGTCTGACTTTGGGAAATTTATTTCAGATGCAGATGTTTTTCCTGACAGGACTTGACCCCTTAGCAGATGAAATTCTCCTTGTAGGAACTTTTTCCTGCCAATAAGCAGAGTGTGGAACACTTCACGAAGTACTTCACGGAGGCGGGCCTGAAGGAGCTCTCTGAGTATGTGCGGAACCAGCAGACCATCGGTGCCCGGAAGGAGCTGCAGAAGGAGCTCCAGGAGCAGATGTCCCGCGGCGACCCGTTCAAGGACGTAAGGCTCTGGTCCTGGCTGTGTCTGTGTAGGAATTCTCACACCTTCGCACCTGAGAAGTCGGGAGGATGTCACCAAGGGTTTGAGGGCCAGCATCAGCCTTCCTGTGAGCAGGGTGGCCCTGTGCTGAGGCCTGCGGGTGAGGTGATAGCGCTGACTGCTGGGGGGTGCTGTGGCCCTGTTGGTCGCCTCCTGGCCAGTTTGTGTAAAAACCAAGGTTGACCCTCAGGCCCCTGCTAGGTCGAGAGGCTTGGTGGAAGTGCAGGTGAGGGGTGGAAGTTGCCGATAGCATAGGAAGGCATCTGTGCTCTTGGAAGAAACCTGACGTTAGTGTGTAAAACAACACATGTGAAAGTGCTCTTGCGTTGCTCTTCATCGTGTAGATAGTTCTATACGTCAAGGAGGAGATGAAAAAGAACAGCATCCCAGAACCAGTCGTCATTGGGATCGTCTGGTCCAGTGTGATGAGCACGGTGGAGTGGAACAAGAAGGAGGAGCTCGTAGCGGAGCAGGCCATCAAGCACTTGAAGGTGAGCAGGCTGCCTCAGGGCTGCCCCGGCCGGCCGGCCGGCCGGCCTGCCTGCCTGCCTGCCTGCGAGGGGCTGCTGCCACAAGGCTCTGATGGCCCACCCTTGGGTGCTAAAGCATTTCAGCCCTGCCTCAGGCTTTGTTTGATTCACACATTAAAGAAACAAACACTTTTGGCTGTGATCCCAGCACTCAGGAGTTGAGACCAGCCTAGGCTACAAAAGTGGGCACAAGGCCAGCCTGAACTGCAGAGAGACTCTGTCTCGAAAAAAATCCTTGTAAGTGAGGTAAGCGTGGTCACATTGCTCGGTTCCTAGTCTCTCTGGGAAGCTGAGGAATTGTGAGCCCAGCCAGAGCAACTGAGCAACTTAGCCGCTGGGTACAACCCGGTCTCAAGAAGGGGCTAAGGGTAAAGCCAAGTGGGGGCCGCAGTACCAAACACCCTAAGAAAGCATAGGCCTACAAGGTGACGTTTGCTCCTGAGTGAGTCTTAGAAACGAGGAGGGCTCTTGTTTTCTTCAAATGTTAGCGTTAGCGTGCAGCTGGCAGAAGGGCTCCTGGAAGCGTTGCTGGCCCGACGTGAGTGCACAGGCTGGTCCGCGCCCCTTAGCCTCCAGCAGGACGTTGAGCCCTTGAGGGCTGCGCGAGCCCAGCCACGCCTGAGCTGAGGGGGCCAGCGTCCACTTGGATGAGTAATGGTGTCCTCTTCTTCCCCGAAAAGCAACACAGCCCTCTCCTTGCTGCCTTCACCACGCAAGGTCAGTCC